CCGCGATTGTCCAGTTATAGTAGCCGGACATGAGCTCGAGGCCAATTTGGTTCTACTGCCCTTTGGTGAGTTTGATGTTATCTTGGGTATGGACTGGTTGTCCAAGAACCGAGCAAAGGTAGATTGTTATAGGAAGGAAGTTAGCTTCGAAATTGAGGGCAAGGGCACCGCTTTATTCAAGGGGACGAAGAAGATGATCCCTGAAAGCCTGATTTCTGCAGTAAAAGCCTTCACCCTAATCCAAGAAGGATGTGAAGCCTATCTGTCATGTCAAGGTGATACAAGAGAAGAAGTTGGAGGATGTCCCTGTTGCAAGGGAGTATCTCGAGGTATTTCCGGAGGATCTTCCTGGGTTGCCGCCACCTAGGGAGGTGGAGTTTGACATCGAAGTGATCCCGGGCACGACACCTATATCTATTCCCCCTTACCGGATGGCACCAGTGGAGTTGAAGGAGTTGAAGGAACAGTTGCAAGAACTGCTAGACAAGGGCTTCATACGTCCTAGTGTATCGCCATGGGGAGCACCCGTGTTGTTTGTAAAGAAGAAGGATGGCACAATGCGATTGTGCATCGACTATCGGAAACTGAATAAGGTCACCATCAAGAACCGCTATCCTCTACCAAGGATAGACGACCTCTTCGATCAGCTTCAGGGAGCAAAGGTGTTCTCAAAGATCGATTTTAGGTCTGGGTACCATCAGCTGAGGGTGGTAGACGATTTTTTGGTTATGCCGTTTGGGCTGACCAATGCTCCAGCAGCCTTCATGGCCTTAATGAACCGAGTCCTCCATGAGTATTTCGACAAGTTTGTCATTGTTTTCATCGATGAAATCCTAATCTACTCTAGGAGTCAGGAGGAGCATGGGCGGCATTTGAGGTTGGTCCTCTAGAGGTTGAAAGAGGAGAAACTGTATGCCAAGTTCTCCAAGTGTGAGTTTTGGCTAGAAGAAGTCTTGTTTTTGGGGCATGTCGTTTCAGGGAGAGGTGTTGAGGTGGATCCCAAGAAGATAGAAGCTGTTACTAATTGGGCGCCACCCAAGAACGTCCCAGAAGTGCGTAGTTTCTTGGGATTGGCTGGTTATTATCGGCGGTTCGTGGAAGGTTTCTCTAGTATTGCAAGACCCATGACACAACTATTACAAAAAGGGAAGGCATTCGTTTGAGGCCGAGAAGTGTCAAGCGTCGTTCGAGTTACTTAAAGAAAAGCTAACCTCTGCACCGGTGTTAGCACTACCAACCACCGGTGGGGAGTATTCAATCTATAGTGATGCTTCCTATCAAGGCTTGGGGTGTGTTTTGATGCAGAACAAGAAGGTAATCGCCTATGCTTCAAGACAGCTACGACCTCATGAGGTGAACTACCCCACTCATGACTTGGAGTTGGCAGCGGTGGTTTTTGCTTTGAAGTTATGGAGGCATTATCTCTATGGAGAGACTTTCACCGTCTTTACTGATCATAAAAGTCTCTAGCACTTGATCGATCAAAACGAGCTAAATATGAGGCAGAGGAGGAGGATGGAGTTTCTCAGTGACTATGACTGCACGATTTAGTATCACCCCGAGAAGGCTAATGTGGTGGCCGATGCTCTAAGCCGGAAGAAGGAGAGTCCTTTACCCGAGTTGGTCTCTTTGAGGGCCATGAACGTGGAATTGGAGCTGGAGGAGGCAACAAAGTTGTTAGCAACTCTAAGGATTCGTCCCATGCTACAGGAGCGGATCAAAGAGAAGCAAGGTGGTGATGTGGAGTTTGAAAAGTACCGGAAGAAAGTATTGGACGGAAAGAACACGAAGTTTGAGCTGGTGGATGGAGTGTTGATGTTTCAAGGAAGGCTTTGCGTACCTGATGTCGACAAGTTGAGGGAGGACATACTGGATGAGGCTCATTCTGCTCCCTATGCGATGCATCCCGGGGCAACCAAGATGTATCGCACCCTCAAGGAGCATTATTGGTGGCCCGGTATGAAGAAGGGGGTCGTAGCTCACGTTTACCAATGCTTGGAGTGTCAGATGATTAAAGCTGAGCATCAAGCCCCAATCATCGAACACTTACCATTGGAGATTCCGCAATGGACATGGGAGAAAGTCACTATGGACTTTATATATGGTTTGCCAAGGACCCCGAGGGGAAATGACGGTGTCTGGGTGATTGTTGATCGCTTCTCAAAGGTGGCCCATTTTATATCCATCAGGTTCAAGCCCGGGATGGAGGAGTTGGCGAGGTTGTATGTGAGAGAGATTGTAAGACTACATGGGGTGCCACTTAGTATCGTTTCTGATTGTGATCCTAGCTTCACGTCGCCATTCTGGGTTAGTCTGCAGAAGGCTATGGGTACAAAGGTGCATTTCTCTACCGCATACCATCCTCAAACCGATGGGCAATCTGAGCGGACGATACAGACGCTGGAGGATCTTTTGAGGGCTTGTGTTATGACCATGGAGGGAGCTTGGGATGAACATTTACCTCTGCTAGAGTTCGCTTATAATAACCAGTATCACAGTTTGATACAAGCAGCTCCATATGAGGTTCTGTATGGGAGAAAGTGTCGTACTCCGTTGTATTGGGATGCTGAAGGAGTGAGGCAATTAGAGGGCCCCGAGATGATGCAAAAGGCCATGGAGAAGATTGAATTAATTCGTAAGAATTTGAAGGCGACTCAGGACCGACAGAAGAGTAACCTCGAGAGGCCTGGAGTTCCTCGCCAACATCAGATGGGAGATAGAGTTTTTCTTAGGGTGTCCCCTTGGAAAGGAGTGATGCGGTTTGGCAAAAAGGAGAAGCTCAGCCCTACTTACATTGGACCATACGAGGTGTTAGAACGTGTTGGACCTTTGGCTTATCGATTAGCCTTACCCCCTAGCCTGTCGAGAATCCACGATGTTTTTCATGTCAGCATGCTAAGGGCGTATCGATCCAACCCTAACCACGTGATCAGGCATGAAGACATCCAGCTGGAGGACGATTTGACATATGAGGAGGTCCCAGCCCAGATCGTGGATAGGCAGGAAAAGGAGTTGAGGAGGAAGAAGATTGCCATGGTGAATGTGATATGGAGAAACCAGGGCAGCGAGGCTGCAACATGGGAGACGGAGAGTAGCATGAGGGAGAGGTATCCAGAGTTGTTTAACGATGCTTAGACCAATAGTTGGTGGATACCTTTGTACTTTCATGTGTAGTCTCGTTTCTCGATATTTCAATAATAGATCCAGTAGTTCAGTCAAGTTTCATTATAGATAACACTCAGTTTAGACTACAATTTCGAGGTCGAAATTTTCTGAAGGGGGAGGGAAATGGTATATCCCAGCTAGAGCAATTCCTTCAAATATAGCGTTACATCGTATAAGTAATTATGCTACAGTTCAAATTTCGGGGACGAAATTTTTTATAAGGGTGGAGGAAATGTTACATCCCGACATTTGAAGTTTAGGTTCGACCGAACAGTTGGATCGGCGATTGTGTATGAAGGGTTGCAGCAATGATTAGAAATAATAGTGTTAATAACATTTATAACTATTACTATAACATTACAACTATTATTATAATCATCATCATCACTTACACGTCCCCAACAATGATTAGAAATAATAGTGTTAATAACATTACAACTATTATAATAACATTTATAACCATTACTATAACATTACAACTATTATAAAAATATAAGGATCTAGATGGTAATTTCGGTTCAGTCTGTAAGAAAATGTCCATGTTAGTTCCCCATATTTCCAGTGCGAGCAGCTTAGCCCCTGGAGTTTAAAACTTTTTATATTCGATCAAAAATGGGTTTCTCTAGATTATTTTTATTATTGGTGCCGTACAATGAGTATTTTCGTGGTATGATAATTTTATAAATAAGAACAAATCAATAGGGTGTTTGGATTGAGATTGCCCAACTGTTTAGGGCTTTTCGTTTGAGATTTTTGGTTATGGTCGTTGGTTGATTTTTGGTTTGACTTAAAAACATGGTTTGGGTTGCTCCGGAGTAACCGGTTGTTGTTTTAAAATTTTGGTTTGATCTTTCCAAAAAGAACGGTTTGTTTCAAGTACCATACCACTCTTTGCCCATTTGGGGAACATACGCTTTTGGATTCATTTTAAGGGAATAGAGAAAAAGTTTTGTGGGTGTTAGAGTGACAATGACAAGGAGAATGACAGATTAAGAATACCTTTGTGATGGGTGGGTTTTAATAATCCGGTATACCAGAAAACTGTTGGTAATTTACCCGGAAAGGGGCGGTATACCATTTGAAGATTGTGGGCTGACGTATACTGGTGCTGTCCGGTTAGCAGTTTAACCAATAACCGCAATGACCGGTTTAGTCATCGGTTAAACCGCAAACTGGTATACCGATTACCAGCCTTATTCCTAAAAATGAAGAGATTTGCATCAATAGTCACAATAAGACTGGCATTGAAGAGGAGGTAAATGATGAACTTCAACTTCATTGATGATAGCCACGGATGAATACTTAGAAGGCATTCATGGCGAGATCGACAACGAGGTTTACGAAGAAGAAGAGGAGACTCTGGAGAATAGTGGTGGGACGGGAGGAGTCTCTGGGTAACTTGATGAATTGCTTTTTTCAATCTACTTAATACTAGGGCAAAGAGTCTTATTATAGTGATATGGATTCAACTCATGAACATACCAAACTGTATGATGGTTGATACATGAATCATGATATTAGAAATATAATAACTGCCATTTACTAAATTCAACATTTTTACAACCAATAACCGCCCTATACTAGGGTGGTATGAGGTGGTAATTTTTGTTCTTGTATTCTTCTCCCCAAAAACTTGTAGATCTAATAGATCATGATGAACTCGTTCCTTCTATGCACATAGTTTCAAAAATGACTTAAAAATGAAGGTGTTATCATAATGGTATGCAGTTGGTAACGAGAGGTATGAAAAAAATTTCTCAAAAAATATTGAAAATGGATCTCAGTTTGTAGATCAACAAACTCATTCCATCTATGCAAAAAAATTGAAATCCAAGTTAGAACGAAGAAGATAAGATTCAATTAAGAAAACTAAGGAAAATAAAACGTTTTAAATTCTCAACAAGTAGATCTGCAATCCACTTAAAATGAAGGGTCCATATTTGGTTATACAAGTTAAGCACAACAAGGTTACTACCCTATCCTGGGCCCACAAGACAGCACAAAAGTTTGGTCATCTAATTTGGGTTGACAGCAGGGTGGATGTCTTAAGAGAGGATTTCCTGCGATTGAGAATCAGTAAAGACATCAGAGCCCTACTTAAACAAGAATTTAAATTGAAGGTACAAGGGGAAATCATGAAATTCAAGATCAAATATGAGAAACTTCCTCTCTTTTGTTTCTCATGTGGCAGAGTTGGACACCCGAAATTATCCTGCCCCACTCCCTCACCTGCAAAACAAGATCCTTTTGGTCCAGAGCTTCGCCCTAGACTAGTGCAGAACAAAACCTGGTTTTCAAAGTTAGAAAAGGAAGAAACAGATGAGATGTGGATGACACTCATATCGAAATTTGGCAAAGAAGCAATGCAAATGAAGCGAATGTTGGAGGATGCCAAGTATCCATATCAAACTACAAACAAAGCAAGGTGGGAGACATTGAAAGATTTAAAAGAGTAGGAACTCATGTCAAAACGCGATGTGTATAGAGATTTCCCCATTGAGAAATATCCGGAGGAAGGTTATAAAGGCCCAGCTGAAGAAATCTGGAACAAGCGTCATGTTCATGATAGAGATGACCAGAGTAATAATGAGGCAAGTGAGACTGAATCTCTAATGCAAAGTACAGATCCTCTATTAGAAAAAGTGACCTTTAGTGTTGGCCAAGGTGGAATGAACGATGAACAAAAAAAACCTAAAGGGTTGACACAGACAAAAGCACCAGAATAAACATCATACTACAGTGATAGCTCCTCAGCTAACATCTCAGAAAAGATCTCTGGCAGAAGAAGAAATAAGGAGGAAGATAAAGACACCCAATCTCACAAAAGGTCACCAGCAGGAACACATCAGGCTCAAATTGGAGAACGCAACAATGAAGCTCTACCGAAATTTACAAACAATGCGAATGGTGATGTGGTGGTCCTTGCCAAGGAGCAGGACTACCGAGCCCAATGAGTATCCTATGTTATAACTGCCAAGGTTTGAGGAGGCCCTTGGCAGTTAAGAAGTTGGGGCGTCTACTCCAACGAGAAAACCCCGTGTTGGTTTTCATTTTGGAAACCAAAAAGAAATACACAGAATGGGATCAAGTAATGAAAGAGCTAGGATGGTATCAAGGCAAAGGAGTGGGCTCAGTTAGACGTGCTGGAGGTTTATTGGCTATGTGGAAAAATGATATGAATGTGGAGGTTATGTCTCTAGATCAGAATTACATCGATTTTAAAATCACCAAACAAGAGACAATCTGGTGGATCATAGGTATTTACGAGTGGCCAGAATAAGGAAACAAGCACAAGACTTGGAAACTCATCAGAGAACTGTATGAACCGACAACAAATCAAATTCCATGGTTATTGGGAGAAGACTTCAATATGATCAGAACTTATGAGGAGAAACTTGAAAATAATCTACCAGAAGTGAGAGAAATGGAAGGATTTAATGAGGCACTTGAGGATTGTGGATTACGATACTATGGGAATCCATTTACCTGGGGAAAAAATCATAAAGATGAAACCTTCCTAGAATAGAGACTGGATAGAATGGTTGCCAATGAAAAATGGCTAGATCTGTTCCACCATGCTCGTGTATACCACCTCAGGAGGTGTGGTTCAGACCACTCTCCAATACTTCTTAAGAAAGAGCTTATCCATGAGAATGTTAGGTGGGGAAAACATTTTCGTTTTGAAAGCTACTGGAACAAAGATGATGAATGTCAACAGATTATACAAGAAGACTAATAAAGATAACCTCAGGCCTCGTTCCTGACTAAGTTGACTGAATGCGAGAAAAAGTTAAAGTAGTGGAGTAGAATGAAGTATATCAGCTTACCTATCAGAAGACAAAAGCTAGAGCAGGCCTTGGAAAAACTAGGAAAAAGGAAAAAGGATGCAGTCGTTTTACGACAAAGGAATGCACTAGAGCGTGATTAAATAAAGTGATGATCCAAGAAGAGATTGCATGGAGGCAAAGTTCTCGTACTAAGTGACTGTCTGAGGGGGACTATAATAGTAAAAACTTCCACTGATGAGCATCTAATATGAGAAATAGGAACACAGTTACAAAACTGAAGAACGAAGATGATGTATGGTGCAAAGAACAAGAGGCAGTCAATGATTGTTTCCTCCATTATCTCATAAATTTGTACAAGACAGGGACCAATGCATCAACTCACCATATTCTAGATGTTGTCCCAAGAAAGATTAGTGAGGATATGAACACAGAACTATTGAAACCCTTTACAAGGGAGGAGATATGGTTGGCCCTAAAGAAGATGGGGCCTTTTAAAGCCCCTGTAGATGGAATGCCTTCGGGTTTTTTCCAAAAACACTGGAGTATTGTGAGGGAAGATGTAACAAGGGAATTATAGAGTTTTCTTGAATTGGGTGAGTTTCCTCAAAGCCTAAATCACACTCTATTAGCCCTCATCCCAAAGAAGAAAGCACCAGACTCACCAAAGGATTTCAGACCTATAAGTCTATGCAATGTGGCCTACAAGATTTCATCTAAGATGTAGGCTAACAAATGGAAAAGAGTTCTAAATGACGTAGTGGTTGAGAACCAAAGTGATTTTGTGCCTGGCAGATTCATTACATATAATATTATAGTTGCTTTTTAAAGTTTTCATGCCATGAAACAGAGGGAAAAAGGGTATGTGCCCGCTAAGCTGGATATTGCCAAAGCATATGATCGTGTGGAATGACCTTTTCTAGAGGTTATGATGAAGAATTAGGGTTTGTCGAGAGATGGGTAAAGCTTATCATGCACTGTGTTACAACCATATCCTATGCAGCAATCATCAATGGCCATCACTCAGAAATGTTCTTCCCCGAGAGAGGGCTGAGGCAAAGTGACCTGATATCACCCTATTTATTCCTATTAGTTGTAGAAGGATTGTCGACATTGATATCTAAAGCTGAAAAGGAGGGTTTGATTCAAGGAATACGAGTCAGAAAAGAAGCTCCTGCCATAACTCATTTGCTTTTGCAGATGACATATGTTTTATCAGAGCTACCACAACAGACAGTCATAAGCTTAAACAGATTTTGAACCTTTTTTTTCATTGAATGATTTTGAACTTATAAGAGGCTGAATCTGGTAAGCTATTAAACCTTACAAAATCATAACTATCTTTCACTCCTAATCTCAATAATAACAGGAAGGAAGAACTAGCTGGCATCATGGAATTAAGATAGTACCGTTTCATGAAGAATGCCTAGTTTACCTACCACAATGGGGCGAGAAAAGAAATTGGTTTTTAGTTACTTGGTGGATAGAGTTATGAAAAAAGTGGCAAAGTGGAAATCTCAATTACTCTAAAGTGTAGAGAAAGAGGTGTTGATAAAGGCAGTGGCACAAGCTCAAGCAACATATGCAATGTCCATTTTCCAAGTCCCTAAAGGTATCCTTGAAGAGATACAGAGTATTCTTTCAAACTTCTGGTGCAGTTAGCAAAACAATGAAAGGAGGACACACTAGAAGACTTGGAAGGAACTGTGTAGTCCAAAGAAGGAAGGTGGAATGGGAAATCATTGATCGAGCACTAAGATGGATGGAGGAATATAAGCAATACCTGAACAAGAGTACCGGGACTGGACAAAGAAGGTTGCTGAAGTGGAAAGCTCCGCCGTCGGGGAAGTATAAAATCAACGTCAATGTCGTAGTGTTTGAAGGACATGAATTTGGATTTGGGGTGGTGGTTCGAGACGAAAGGGTAAATTGCTATTTGTAGGGTTGAAAAGAATGTGGAGACAATGGCTACAAGAATTCGCAGAGGCTGCGGCGATTGATTTTGGATTGGAGGTAGCGAAAATGTATCATTTCTTACCTGGGTCGATTTAATCGGATTGCATGGTGGTAATACAGCGATTGCAAAGTGAAGGCCCAAGGCAACAGATCTGGGTGGGTTGGAGATCTCCTTTGCGGGCCGAGAGACTAACAGTGCGCCCATCTTATGGTCCACACTCTATGGAATTGGAAGAGGAGGAAAATTGGATCTCTAGTCCACCAATTTTCCTACTATCAATCCTTCATTCTAATTGTAACGCCACACATATGAGTTAATAAAATCGATCCAGGTTTTACATAAAAAAATCTATTGGAATTTTACTTCAAATGAAATTTTCGTGCCTCTTTTTTTTGCTTAACTTAAAATATATAATGGTACTATGTAAATTTGACTTGTTATGTAAGGTATTCTAATAATTTTTTGGGTTAATTATTTAAATAAAGATTAAGTGTGTTGGATTATTGGGGATTTAAGCGTTGTTGAAGTTTTTACTATGCTTGATTTAAGTGTATTGGATTCAAGTATGAGCTACTATTTTGATGTAATATTATATGTTATTAGCTATATATTAGATAGAATTTGATATAATTTATATATGTATGTACAATATAATAATGTTATCCATATATCCGAGATAATTCGGGCTAAACCGATCAACCCATTAACTCTAGACCAACTAGCTCTACCAGGCCAACAGGCAAAGCCGGGTTGACAACCTTGCTTAATAGAATATATAATAGTTGGGTTAATCAACGAGGCAATGATTGTACCCCCAATAGTTGTCACGTAATCATGTCCACTGTATTCAAACAAACAATTAAAGAGGTATGACATCGTGTGTTTAACTACCCCATATCTAAAGTAGCTCATCTGTCCAATCTGTTTTAACTTAACTGCCATTCCCACTAATTGTCATTATTGAATGGCTTTCGATTAGACGAAAGTTAACTATATAGAAAAAACAGACCATGTCCCACATGATACTGATGTTAAAAAGACTGGTGTTTTTTAACCAATCAAAACAATACATGTGGTATATGTTCGGTTTGTTTCTGTGTTAAATGTTCCAAGTGATTTGTAAATGCTAGTTTTAACTGCTATGTAGTTGAGTATTATCGCCTTATCACAATTCCACTTATTAAGGTCAACATATTCTCAGTTTTCACTAATAAATAAGTGGAAACGTGATTAGTGATTATAGAGATGATAAAAAAGTAGACATAAAATAAATATCGTTCCAATGATTAAACACCAAGTTATGTGATTAAAAGACGAGATGACCATTGACTCGCTCCTACCGTCACTCTAGAAAATGGCAAAGTGTAACCACCTCTTAAAGTATAGTATAGCGGGTTTGGGTTTTAATGTCAACCCGGGTCCTAAGTGTGATGACTACTCCGTGAGTTCTTATTATTTAGCGGTGAAACTTTAGTGAAGGTCCAAACAAGCAAACAAGCAAAGCAGGTAAAAAGGTTGTTTCCAAGTCGAGAGAGGTCACCCGGATATGGTTCCCCCCTAGACTGCAGTTAAGCCGGATTGTAATTTACCAAGTTCAATTTAAATGATAGTTATACTGCGGGAGGTTCTTAAACAGTCTGCAGTCTCGACTAAAGGTCTCCAGACCCTCTCAATCTGAGTCCCCAGCGGGCGACTAACCTCCACCGGAGTAAACAGATTGAGGCCTTAACGAACCAAACCTCCACTACTGAAGTAAATCTGGTACAGAATAGTGAATTGACTCCTCGACTAAAGTTGTCAATTCACTACCTTCAATCAAGGATGCTCTATTAACCTAGGCAGATATTCTCATTCTAGGTCAAAGCAGAAACAACCGAAATTTGATCAGGATTCATGCCATTCAACAATTCAAACCTCAATTGAATATAATCAAATCATAGAATCTATACTTGGATTCATACAATCAGACCTAACATACAAATCTAGGGTTCTTCATACCTAGGTGAATAAGAAAGTTACTCCATAGAGAAAGATGGGAAATCTAGCTCAGATGCGGAAACCATACTGTGAAGGATGATAATCTGCTTCTGGCACTCAATCAGCTCTTCTCCAAGCTCAAGCCGGGCTCCAATGGTGATGGAGATCGATCAAGGACACTTGCAGAATCAGGTTCGTCACTTTCTCTTTCTAGGTAGCGCTTTTTCTCTCTAAAACTCGGAACCCTTCACTTTTGCCCTTCTTTTCCCTTAAGAAGCTGTCTGTCGCGATCCCCTGTCTGAATACCCGGTCGGGTATTTTGGGTGGCGACCGGGTATCTTCAAAACGCACCGTCTGGGAACAGGGGAAAATCCCCGGTCAAGGCCAAGAATCCCCGACCAGGGATTTAAGCCTCACGACCGGGCCCCCTTCTGCTTCTCAACGTGCAAAACGCCTTTTCCCCGGTCTGCTTCAAATAATACCCGGCCGGGTATTTCTGCTCATGGCCGGGTATTTTGCTCCTCCAGCACACTTCGACCCAAACGTTCTCATTTCGACCTGAAACTCGTTTCTTCGCCTCGATTCCAACGCCAACCCCTGAAATATGACATAAACGCACAACCTAGCGTGAAATTGGCTTAAAACACGAGAATCAACATCTCAACGGCTCAAGAATAGGGGTAAAAACATGTGCAATCGATGATCTATCAAATTCCCCCACACTTAACCGTTTGCTTGTCCCCAAGAAAACCTAACTCAAACCAATGCAGCTCTCCAGACCTCTATAGCAACAAACAACCCCAACCGTCGGTAGAGGATTTTCTAGATCACAAAGCAGCTTACGAGGTCAACTGGTCTTCTAAGACGTCCCCTATCTCTCTCAATGCGAGTACTAGACTCAAGCGAGGATCATGAGAAGAAGTAGAAGTAAGACAGTCAGTTCATGGATAAAGGGACTCACAACATTCACAACCAAGGACTCGTTGTACCGGGGTGCTCTTTCACTTCATTTCACCACTGGAACCGCTTTTTCTCACTTTCATTTACATTTTTCTTCTTCTTTTTTTTCTTTCACATGTCGGGGTTCCAACTGCAGTCTTTTTAACGGTCGACCCTTATTAGTCGAGCAAGAGCAATTTCTGTACACCTGGCGCTCGCCAGAGTACTTCTTTTAACTCCTTTTCCTCAACTCGTGTGGAGGGTCAATGAAATTAAGGGGGTCGGAAGCTCTATCCGTGCCCTTAAAAACACATCCTCGAGTAGGCAAACCGTTCAACGGGTAGAAGTTTTACTTGTACTAGAGACAGCTTAGCTTCACCTTGTAGGAGTACCCCACTAAGGATCACTAAAATCTCCTCCAAAACCCGATTTTGTGCAATGAACGGTGCCACACACGTTGGGCTTACCCCATGTTTAAGATTTTGATGGTTTCGACATGGAGGACCAACTGCTTTTCATTTCCCACATGAGCACCATGTTCGATACACGAGTCCATAACACAATCCAAACAGAGTCCACATTCCCACATGAATTCAACGGTCTTAGCTCCACTAATTCACAAAATCAACTGGCACAACAGAGAGCTAGATAGAAAAAATCATTTACTTCAACATCCTCCATAGTGCTACACTACCTCCCCAGGTTGCACATTACTATAGAGACTGTCAATTCAAAGCATACTGAGCAGGCAATTTGCATGGAAAAACGTACTTGGAGCCCTCAAATTAAAAAAATTGGACAGTGGACTAGGCTCCAAGCACACAAAAAGATCTAATGCAGTCAAAAGAGAAACAACAAACACACAAGACAGTTCGCACTCTGACAAACAAAAACAACACAGAACAGGCCACTAGGACAGCCTCCTAGAGCCCGGTGAAGTCAATCTGGTTCATGAGGTCGTCGACCCCATCTATCGGTGGTGGTGGGGGTGGTGAGTAGTCCCACCTGGAGGTCTAGTGGTGCTCCTCTGGTGGGTGACAAGACTGGAGCAGGTGCACCTGGTATTCCATCAACCGGTGGCCACGATCCCTTTCCCGCTCGATGAGAGCACCAGTGACTTCCATCTGGGCCTCCATTCGGTCAGGCGCTCGTCCACAACCGTCAGCCTGGACTGGTACTCGGCCTGGTGGGCCGAATACTACTGGTAGAACTGGACCTGATGGTCCATGAGCTGCTGGTTCTGAAGCCCGAGCTGCTGCAACTGGAGCCCCATCTGCTAGAACTGCTCCGTGAAGAAGTCCATCGACGGGCCAGAAGCCATCGACGGACCAGAATGACCGGAGGAGGACTCGCCTCTCTCTGATCTCCATCGTGGCTGAAGGTCCCCTAGTGGAGAGAGCGGGGGCTCTGGCTCATCAGCATCCATGGCCCCGCCATCATCATCATCATCATCATCATTATCCTCTGTTATAAACGCGCTGCTACGGATCGGGAAATCGCCGGAATCGACAAAGCAAGAATACGAAAGCGAGACCCCCGATTACCAGTCGTAGCGGCTGATAGTCCGATTCAAGTCATATCAACAAATCTCCACCTTGACTTGAATCCTCTTCCTCTAAAATCTCTGATGTACTCTGCTCCTTCTCTCTCTCTCTCTCTCTCTCTCCCGCCATCAATGCCCCGTAGGGCGGAGTCACCCACTCAAGACATTCAGCAAGTCCAAGCAGTGTTGGAACTTGCCATGTGGAACCGGCTTCGTGAACATATCAGCAGGATTATCCGCGGTGCCAACCTTCTTCACCTTAATCCTCTTCTTTGTCCTCAAGAAACCTCACATCGATGTGCTTAGTCCTTTCATGGTGGACTTGATCCTTGGCCAAGCATATTGCACTCAAACTGTCGCAATACACCACTGCCTGATCATGATGTAGACCCAGATCACCAACCAGTCCCTTCAACCATATTCCCTCCTTAGCCGCTTCTGTCAACGCCATATACTCTGCCTCAGTAGTAGACAATGTTACCGCCGACTGCAGAGTTGCCTTCTAGCTCACTACGGAACTCCCAAGAGTGAATACATAACCGGTCATCGATCTCCTCGTGTCAAAATCTCCAGC